TAAAACAATTAACAAAATTTAATTTTCTTTGACATTTATTTAGTATATGATTTCCTTTATTTTTTATTTTTAGAGGTTTATACTAATTATTAAATAGATTTGTTTCTTATGTTATCATATATAGTTGAAAGTTAGAAAAAAAATAATAGTTATGTGAATGCATCTATTCGAGTATAGATAATATGTTTATATCTAATTAAAAATAGATCTACTCTCGATACACAAAAGATGATACAACGTTAATATCATTGTCAATATCTTAAAAGAGAGTATAATTTTTTTTTTTTAAGTTCATAAAATCAATAGGAAAAAACGAGATTTTAGCATATGACGAAAACGAGTCATATTTAGTTGGCAATTAATAGATAAAGAAGAATCAGGTGAAAAGCTTTATATGCACTTGAGCCGCGACAAATCTCATTCAAGTTGAGAATTTCCTGTTGCTATTTTAATCGGGTTGCCTATAATTATATATGGGCCCGTAAAATGAAAAAAATAAAAATAAAAATAAAACAAGCAAGCAAGCCTTTATGGTCCCACGGTAGCTTTTTAGCCATACTTTATGAATCTGTATATCTATCTATAAATAATTATAATAAAAAATGCAGGACAATGCTTTGGAGGTTAGAGAAATCTGTATACATCCTTCAATATTTAATCTAAGGTTCATCGAATCGGTTGAGAAAAGCAAAATATACGAAAATGATGGAATAATTTATACAATTTTAGAGATTTTATGTTCTAATTTTGGAATAGATGCGTGGGAAAATATTATGTTATCCCACGTCGTGAAAATGGTTAGTATTTATTTCATTATAAGTGTGAATTTTTTATTTTTATTTTTTGAGTTAACATTTGAAGTTGACGAGGCGAAATAGCATCTAAGACTGACATTAGAGTCTTTGTTAAATAATTTTTCATGTATTGATGACATATAAGTTGACGAGAAATCTTTAATTTAAGATTTAATGTGTGAAATAGGAGATTTTATGTTCTAATTTTGGAATGGACGATTGGGGATTAGAGGGAGAAACATGATAAAATATTGCTAATTATGTTGTTCAAGTTTTTTTTCCCTTTTAATTTTTTTAAAAATACTTCCTTCCACGCCCAATTGATGAATTTAGTAGGATTCATATGGCATCTATTTGCCTTTCTATGATCTGATCAATTAAGCATCATTTTCTTTTTTCTTCTTCCTATCAATCAGAGTGCAATTTTAGGATTGGCAATTTTCTGTCACATCGGACATGATTATTACATTAATTAATTGCCGCTGAGAAAAACTAGAATTTTAGAGCTTGCTAGTTTAATTTGTGGTTGATTGAGCATGGCCAATTTAATTATATGAACCTCGCCATCAAACAATCTTAATTAACTCTTCTGCTTAGCTGTAAGCCCGTGCTTGCGTTTATACATAGTTGCCTTAATCAAACTAAACTAAGTTCTTTTGCATGCGCATTAAACAAATTAATTCTGTAGCAGTTGGTAAGGTGTAATATCATATCATTGGCTTTAATCCGTTTCAGGGTATTGTTATTGCATCCAAATTAACCAGTTTGGTAAGGCGTAATGTCAGTATATAATCACTGGTTTTAATGCTTTATGAGTTGTGTTATTGGCCCTAAGCAGATTACAAATCTGTGGCTTATTTCTTTCCACCCAAGTTGCTTTTACAAAAAGGGAATAGGCTTTCTTGCGAACTAATGCGAGATTTCTTGAAACATTTTTTTTTTTTTTTGTCTTTTAAACCAAGACTTCGTTCGTAAAACTGGACCTACACAAAGTAATTAGTTTGTGATTTAATTGATTATAATAAATATAAGATACTTCACCCAAAATGATTTGTTGAAAATAAACCCACCTTTATGCTACAAGCCACCGTTGTATATAATTAACAACCCCATTTTGGCGTCTCATGATTTTGTCGGATAATCATTTGAAAGGAAATCATTATCATAGTTAGACTTCGAATTTGATTGATGAGAACCTTCATTGCTTCATTATCACCATCTACTTTTTCAATAATAGAAGAGAGAAAGCTAGCTAATAATTTAACTACAAATCATTATCAAAATCTTGCTAATAATTCTAGACTAATGAGTTTTTTTTTTTTTTGGAAATAATGGAATGAAAACAAAATATGCAACAGTTAAGTTCCAGTAAAGAACAATTCTTATCGACTGTTTTATGTATTCGATCATTCTCCAAACAACAGTGCTATTGCTTGTAGATCATGTGACTCTCTTTTGTTGTTGTTTTTTTTTTTTCCTAATAAGGAATTAAGGTCATAATTATAAGGAGATATTTTCTTAGGGGTTTGGCATATTGTATGGAGAAATATCAGATTTTCCTTGGTGGGTCTCCTCATGATGGTCCTTGTATATATATGATAGTGCCACAAAATTCGTACTTTATTTCCTTTTGGAAGAACATGTAATGTGGCATATCTCTAGGGACACCTTTCCAACTTCTTGAATCTCATCCCACTTCTTTAAAAATTTCCACATGCTACCGTTAAATTTGAGCAAAAGGATATTCATTAAAAATTATTTAATTTACTTTAACTTGTCGCTAGCTTGATTCTCTAATCATTGATCCAAAATAAATAAATAAATAAATAAATTCCATCATTTAATTTACAGATCCTAAATAGAGATTAAATGTGAGTCGCTCATAATTTGGAATTTTGCTTTTATGTGATCATATATATATATATACACACACCTCAAATGGCTCCATTCCGGTTTTTAATAAGAGTATCAAAAGATTTTGAGGAAATATATTAATGTATCTTTATATAATAAATGTTTTTTTTTTAAATTATACTTTTATATATAAAAAAATCAATTTTTTTTTGTTGTTTTATTCATTTCCTTAAAAGAGTATTTAAGTTGCACATGATCATTAGTTTTAATGTAAAAAATTTGACAGATGCAAGTATAAGAAAATATAGATAAACTAAAGGCTAAAATTTGATTGGAGGTTTTTTTTTTGGTACAAAGGTGCAATTGAGACATCGTATAATATATATAAAGATATATCGATAGATTCTCTAAAAAATTTTATATTTTATATAAAAAATTATTTCGACATAATTTGATAGCTATTCTAAGTCAAAACAAAATTAATTAATTGTAAAAGTTAAGTATGTGTGTTCTCAAATACTAATTTGCCTGTATATGTAATTATGTAACTTATTTCTTGAGTTGAAAATATTTTCTCAAAGAAACTATATTAATAAAACTGATAAAAGAGAATGAAAAATAGTAGTTCAAGGATTGGACTGTTAAGAAATTAAATTAATTTTGGAGTTCATTTTCTTACGTGTAATCACTTTTAGGATCGAATTTATAAGTTAATAAATTAAGTCAGGTATAGATTTAAATAATCTCTTTTGTAAATGAAAATGAAATTGCACTTACGATAGAATCTTATGTGATCTAATTAAACTAGAGCTGATTGATATACAAGAAATTAGTGTCCAGGGTAAATTTGAGTAAGGCTATTAATTAAACCTAAATATCAAAATTTAATTAGTTTTTCAAATAAATTAGCCATTTTTAGGTTGAATTTAATTGACGGGTCCTTCAAAAGACCACCTATCAAGTGAGTGATATTATTTAAAAAAATTCACCAACAATTTTAATGAAAAATAGCAGTACTGGGTAATTTGAGAGCAAATGGATACGTTATTGTCCTATGCACCAATAATAATTTGTTGCGTAGGTGAGGATGATGATGTAACATCTCTTAAAGTTACTGTACCAATCATCATAAGAATAACTGCATGAATCTTTCGGATTGAAGGGTTAAGAGGGACAATAATTTTTTTCTTTGTTGTAGAAATTAATACTCAAATATGTTAAGTAATATCATTTCGGAAATAAAAGAGAGTAATTTTTTTTTTTTTTTGAAAAAAAGGGAACCATAAGAATAATTTTTTAAAGGGAAGGGAGGAAGTTTTTTGTCATTGTAAGGTTGAATATATGGTAATATATTTTAGGGATAAAATTTGGCATAGACTTTGATTTCTAGGGATGAATTTGGAGAAATTAACCAAATGGAGACTGGATAATAAAGTGTTAGGGGCACGGGCCAAACTCTTATCTCCTTTAAACTCGTCCGTGCTGAAGGCCTCTCACACCTGTGGGCTGTAGCTGTGGTCCAATATATTGAAAGGTTTGGGATAAAGTTGAGAAGAATGCGTACTTTTCTTTTATTGCTCAAAAGTCCAAAACGGCACGCTTTTTACAATCTTCAACGAACCCATCAAGCATTCCCTTCAAATTTAGCTTAAAAATTTAGCTTGTTTAAGAATGTTATACCTAGCTAGCCCTGATGTTATTGCTCAAGAATTATACATACATACATACATACATACATACATACATATATATATATAACTACTAAAAAAGATATCAAATGAGAGTCTGGCAAGGTAAACTATCTCTTGTTTCCACTGTTTTATTCTCTTCAAATTATTAAGATCTTTTGAAAGATAAATTTAATATCGATTAACATGCAGACAGCAGACTGTACAAATATGTACAAATATATTCTTTGCTGTTAACAAAAAATGCACCTAATATTTTTAGAAGATTTTTTGTATAAAAAGTTTATTTATATAGCGTTACTGGTGTAAATGTGGTAATGCTTGGCATTTTTCGAAAATTCAATTCAACTCCATTTCCTTCAGCTTAATTTTTTTTTAATTTTCTTTTCCAATACAATAATTACGTGAACCAATCAAAACAATTTTAATTGTAGGTATAATGAAAATGCAACTGAACCATGCTCTTGGTCGTCTTCATAAAAATTTTAGCACAAAAAACTATAAGGTACAAAGAATATAGTCTCAAAATTCCTCATCAATTATTAACTTGAGCCAATGCTTCAAAGTCTATTCAAATTATATTTAAATTTTGTAAAACAATTTTCAACAAGTATTCATCATACATATAGCATGCTACCTTATAGAAAAGACAGATTATCACTTCTCATAACTCCTTGTACTGGTAACCAAGGACATTTTGCTTTTGTTTCATCTCCACAAGTTCAGAATCGAAACTCTCAGGAACCTGTTGAGTTATACAGTAACTAGTGGAAGGTAAGAATGGAAGTTTAAGTGATATTCAATATCACCCTTAAAAAGGATCCTGGAAAATATGTTTCATGCTTGAAACGAAATTTGGAAACTTAGAGGGAAGGTGGTCGATGGACAAAAAGAATTTCCGATAGCTACTCCAGTTCCAGGGGTAAACGAAAACCTTGCTTCTGTTGCTTTCGTGGGATGAGTCGATACAGCATATGTTTGTGAAAACATTCAGTACGTATGATAACCATCAGTTCTGGCACTAGCTACATCAGAATTCTGAGAAATTGAATGGTTTAAATCTCTGTTGCTACAATCAACCGTCTCTTTCCTCCTCTTTGATTTCTTCAGCTGGTGTCCAACCAACTTAACCACAAGATAAATGAAAGCAGATCCTAGAGTAGCCGAGAAGATGGAAATTAGAGCTCCAAATGTCCAAACATTCCCATGGCTATCTGGCATAATCACCCATGTTGCTGCAAAGTAAGCAGCAGACATGGACGACCCTGCCACCCACTTGCCCTTGTGAGCAACCACCAATAGCTTCATTAGTGGCTTTGTTTGAAAGGGGATGATGCTAACTAGAGCTATTACAATGCATAAGGATGTGAACAATGCAATGTTGTTGGTGATTGAAAAAACCTTAAAAGCTGATGTCCTGCCTGCTGTTGATTTTCCTTTCAATGGTCCATCCGAGTAGACACCACCTGGAGGATTGATGCCTGCTGTAAAAGTCATCGTAGCAATCATAACAGCGACTACTGTGATTGTCTTCCTTGCATTCTGTAGTGCCTCTGTGTGTGCCTTGTGTTGCTTCCTAAGTCGGCGTTTATTAATTTTAATTAGCTCTTTCCTGCGTATCATGCTTTCATGCCTGGAGGGATGCTTGTAAATTGGGGAGCCTTCTGTTTCCTCTGACAAGTATTCTGATTCAGATAGATCTTTCTTTTTAATTTCAGAATTCTTGTTAACCTGAAGCTGAAGAGGCTCACCTCTTGGATTGGTTCTCATGATTAATGCGGGCATGCTCTTCGACAGGATGTTTTCCGCAGCATGTGCTGGAGAAAGTTGGCAACTACCACTTCCACAACCAAGCTGCACCTGCAGGTCAAATTCTCGCTCGAGTGCATCTCTGGGGCTTTCAATTTTTGGTGACCTAAAAAGTCCAGTACCTAGTTCTCCACCAGCTTTCTTTAATGTCTCTAAGATCCTGGATTTCTAAACTGCATCCAGCATGGCTGAGGATGTCGAGCGCTGTATGTCCTCTATTGCTTTGATGATCGATTTCTACTTTCCTTTCGTTGATAATACGACCTGCTAGCTGGAACGAGCTCAAAAGAAGTCTCGGATTAACAAATTACATCTATGATACCAGTCATGGGGGGGGAGCACGAAATTATACTGATGCATAATTGAAGTTTGTGCCTCTAATGTGTCCAGAAAGAGCACAAGTGTCTTTCTGGTCTTATATCAATGTATTTTCGAACTCTAGTGTTCACGTCTACAATGATTCTGGCCTGCATAGGCACACGGGCATACACACACATACATAACATAGTTTTAAACAGCGGTCGTGGTTAAAAAAACATTCATGATCGTGGGTTGTCACTCATTACGGTCGTAAAATAACGATCGCGATAGTTAATTGTGTGAGTACATTAGCAATCGATAATAAATTTATTCTAATTCACATTTTTTGATAGTTTTTACTAATTAAACATTATAATAAATAATCAATCATATCTCTAATATTTTAATGACATATAACAATAGTTAAATTTATTATAAAAATAATTAATAAAGCTTTCAATAGATTAATATCACATAAAAAATAATAAAATACATTATAATTTCAGTAATTGCAGGAGAAAAAAAGCAAAAGAAGACAAAAAAAAAGTCTATCATCTCATTAGTAACTGCGGGGCAAAGAAAGCAAAAAAAGACAAAAAAGTCCCTCATTTTCATTAGTAATTGCGGAAGAAAGAAAGCAAAAGAAGATAAAAAATGCCCAGCTGTATTTCGGGTTTTTTTTTTCAGCAGTTTAAATTTTTTATATATAATGCTGTTATATAATGGCTAATAACGGCGTTATATAACGGTAATGACGTTATCTACCGTTATAGGCATGAAACGGCATTGAGGCCCTTATAATGCTAAAAAATGGTAACGGGTTGCCCCTTTAGCGTTATATAACGGCCATTACGCGACATAACGGTCATTTTTTAAAACCATGATAGAGAGAGAGAGAGAGAGATTCTTACCTGATAGTTTCCTCCTGAGATTGCAGTATGCAGAATGGTGTTGCCAAATTGATCTGGTCGTTGGAATAGCTTGGTGTAACTGAACACATGTTACAAGCACACGAAGGCACTGTATGCATTGAATCTTACAATAAGATGAAATACATTGTCTCCATCGGCTGTGAGACAATCAAATGATGTGGGAGCCATAGCCAAAAATTCTTCATTGATTGTAGCATTGCCATGAATTGCTGCCAAGTGCAATGGTTTGAAACCGTTGTTATTATATGGCAGAGCGAGGTCTAAGTCATGCCTTAGAAGTAATTTTGCTATCTCCAAGTGACCATTTTTACAAGCATAGTGCAGAGGATTGCATCCATCTCTGCCAATCTTCTGAGCCATATTTGGACGCACTCGTAATATCATCTTCACTATATCTGCATCATTACCACCCATACTAGATCAGTACATTAAAAGAACATGATACAACTTAAATAAAATGACCAAAATTCTGCTTAACCAACAAATTTCTATGTACTTGTATTTAAGCATGTTAACAGGTAAATTTGCATATATATTAACAAGGGAAATAGACACCTACCTGTATGACCTTTTGAGGCAGCCACGTGGAGAGATGTGAGGCCAAGAGGAACATCATCTTCTAACCCCAGCAACCATGGATGATTCAACAAAACCTTGACCACATTGAGATGCCCATTATTGCAAGCATGAATAATGGAGACTGATTTTCAATGTTAAACTTGCAGGCAACCCATGGATTTGTCTCTAACAGCAGCAATACAATCTTTAATTGTCCTTCGCGACAGGCTAAACGCAGAGGAGTCTCCAGCATCTTGTTCTCAGCTTCTACCATGTTTGGCCGCAACTTGATGATTTCCATCACCAAGTCAACGAGTCCAAATTTTGAAGCAAGGTGAAGCACCGTGTTAAAGGCGTTATGGTTCTCTGCTCTAGAATTGTATCATTTTGTTGAACTAAATTGACAAATGCCTGTGTATCATTGCATAGAGTTGCTCTGTAAAGTGTAGGATCCATCTCCTTGAGCTTGTGGTTTTCTTATAGAAAGCAAAACAATGCACTTACAGGAAATATTATTTGGTGCAAGATCTTTGGAAAAATTAAAACAATAAAGCGAACAACTCCATGGGCTAGTGCAAAGTCTTATAAACACTGGAAAGAAACAGCTAGGAAAGTGAGGAAAGACTCGAATCTTGCTTGCTACCCGTAAATTATTACTTCTCTAGTTGGCCCATCACCTTTATTGGGCATTCATTGACTTCGTCAACCATACCAGTTTCCTAGAGTCATCTGCCATCTTCCCAGTATCTTCTTCGACGAAAATATAATAATCCCCACAGCTGCAATTCCTAGCAAGTTCAACAAGCTCAGTTGTTGTTGAGATGTAAAGGGTGGTAGTTTAGATATGCTCTGTATCCAGTTTTATGCAATTGTTCAAAGAACTGGCAAGGAATTCATTTATTTACAATTTACATGCATTTTTTTGGTCCCCTAGTTTAACTTTCTTGCATTAGTCCAAAGAAGAAGAAACCATTTTGTCATATCACCATTTGCTTCTCATATTAGGAAAAGATGTTTCTTGGTATGTGGCTGGAGCCAGCGTTCCCTTGCTAGTGTTTTGACTTGTGGCACTAGGACTTAAAAGCAAATTGAAGTCAAGACTGTTCAATTTTCCACCCAACCTTACAATGTGATGTAATTTTAAGACCATCACACTTGGCCCTCCAAAATTATCAAATCTTTTTTTTCAATCATCCAAATCGACAAAAGGATTTCATTTTTCAGGACCCACCCACCCACCCCCACCCCATTCCAAATCCAATTTGCAAAGCTTATAATGTGTTTTGTTTCGGCATTCCATGATCAATAATGATTTAAACCCAGATCAGAGGTTCAAGACTTAACAAATAAAAACAATTACTTTACTTTTATTTGTACATTTTTAAGCACAAAGTAAATCACAAGGGAAATATCGAAACAAAACAAAATCACAGCGGATGGACATGGAGTAAGATAAAAATGAAATGCATTAAATTCAATAGCAATAGCATGTCTTGAGTATAATCAAAGTACAAACTCCTAGCATATTAAATCCAGCAATGTCCAATATGCAATCAATGACTCAAAAAAAAAAAAAAAATGATAAAACACGAGATTCCAACAGCTGGAATAGATACTAAAGCAAGAAAACCAACCTACAGATGATAACAATGAAAAAGGGAAATAGGTTATGGTAAAGACCATAACAAAGCAATCAATGTGGCCGTAAGAAGCATTGACAACGAACTAAGTGTCACTGAGACTGATACTCCTGAACTTGGTTGTGGGGATGGTGCTAGGTATCCAGGCGGAGCTGCAGTAAATGGAGGAGAATGGTAGTGCAGACCCATCACTTCAACTAGCAAACGCTGTCCGCTCTTGCAGTGATTTGGGGTTCCACTAATGTAGTAGAAAGGTCCTGACCTGTCAAGCTTGAACACGCTATTCCCATTGTTGAAGGCAACAATAGGATTGCTAGGATCACAATGGTAGTATCCCCACTTGTCTACTTCGATAACTGAATCATTCTTATACTCAAAGGCTGCAAAGAAGAAAACAACAGAGCAAATCAGAAATAGGAGAAAGTAGAAGCTGCTGGCTGCACAAAAAGAAAACACTATTCTACCTTATACCCACTTTCTTGCAAGGACACCTTTGGTCATAAATCATTCCTACCTGGTTTCAGAAATATCATATTTACGTCGGAAAGAACCATTTTTCCATGTTTACTTGCATAAGCAAGTAGAACAATATCCTTTTTTTCTGGTAAGGAAAATTTTACATTGCAAGAACTCCAAGCAAAGCTCTCTCTCTCTCTTTTTCCCCTAGATAATCATTAAGCTAAAAGAAAAGAAAAAAAAAGAAAAAGAAAAAAGAAAAATCAGCGTCAAGAAGTTGCACGGTCGTCTCATTTCTATCTGTTAAGAGGAATATTGTCTGAGTTTTAGCTTGCGTTTAAGCAGTTATACCAATAATGTATTGGATAGAGATAGGCTAGACTCTATCTTATCTGTTAATTAGTTCTCATACTTCTGTAACACTAATCAATAAATGTTCTCTCCAGTTTTGTTATTTAAACTCTGATCAATAACTTGACTGACTCAACTTTATGCGTAAACATTTGCAACAAACACAACTGCAATCTACCTTGTAAACAATAGTAACCTGACAACAGTTTCACACTTCGGAAGAAAATGATAACAGAGAACATCATGATAACCTTAACAGCTTAAACAAAAACGATTAGGAAAATATGTAGTCAAAATCTAGAAGGTGAGCAAACTGTCATGAACTCACAGAGAGAATCTCCAACTAGGAATCTCTTCCTTGTAGCCCACTGAGTATACAATGCAGAGCCTTTTTGTCCAGGTTGTTGCCATCCAAACTCATCCCCAACTTTGAACACCCTTTCTGCACTAACCAAACCAATAGTAATGATAAAACAAGTGCAAAAGAAAACCACAAGAGATGTCATTTTAGTGTTGTTTATCGTTCTCTAACTAGAAAGCTTTGTTAACCAAAAGTGAGCTAGCTATGATATAATGGACGTAGGTTAATACCAAGAGATTTATAGCATATATATAGTGGGATTGCTGCAAGGAGTAGTGGGCAGTTAATTTAACTCAAATCGTGGAGGATTATCGTGGTTACGTTAATTGAAGTAATGGATGGTTAGGGAGATAATCGTGCGTGGATTGGTGACAGTTATGATTTGAAAAAATCCAGCATTGATTGACTCTTTCAAAACAGAACTTGCCATGGAAATTTGGCAGCCACTTCTTCAACTTTTTTTTCTTTTTTTGAGAATTACTTCTTCAATTTAATTAAAATCTCCAGTATTGTAGTGGATAATCTCATGTATTGAAGTGGATTTTGTATATAATCACGTGGAATGACAAAATAAGATTAATATAGCCAACCCCAACAAATTGCAAATAAAGAACTGATCTCTATCTTTCACAAATATTGACGTTGACACAAAAATAAAAATAAAATTTAACAATCCCCAAATCAAGAAATTTCATAGTAGGGCTAATATAATATATTTATGTTGGTGAAATTAATCCAAATCGTTGGTTTGGATTTCAATGATTAAGATTTCATTTCACGGGGTTAGCTTTTTTTAAAAGTTGATTGTTATTTTCTGTATAAGTAAATCTAATTTAACCATTGGTTTTTGAATTTTATTTTTTATTTTTATGATAATTATTTTTCTCAATGAATAAATATAAACCATTAATTTCAAAAGTAACATGATGGATCGTGTTATACTTCTAACTCGAAAGAAGCCAAACAATTTTGTTAGTATGAAATTCTTTTATGGTAGATGATTTACCACAAATCCTTGTATTTTGTATGCAAGTACTGATCATAGTTCGCAAGGCCTCCAAGTTTTGCTGATATAATAATATTTTTTGAAATTGGGTCCATCCTAGCACTTTCTAGTTCACATTAGAAAAGATTTCATTAAAAAAAAAAAAACACAAGAGATTAGCTCAATTTGTTTTATTTTTAACTCAATCTATGATGCATCTTTATGTTCTTTCAAGATATATTTCCATACAAACCTATTAATTGACCTTAAAAAAAAAGTTTGAAAAGGAAAAACAAATTAACATATAACATTACTAAAAAAAATAAAAGATATGAAGTTTTTATTGTTCATTTACTGTAGCATTTTTTTTCTTTAAGGACTAACTAGCAGCCCAGCCTTAAAGAAACATGCTCAGTTGGGCCTAACAACAGGCTCAAGCAGGCGTGGCCTGACTCACAGACCTGCACAAATAGTCCCGTTTATCTTTTTTTTTCCTTCTAATAATTTATTTTTATATTTTTTATCATGAAATTAGATGTAAAAATATATTAAAAAATCGTTTTTTTTTTTCAGTTTTATGTACAATTCGACGGCAATAGTATATATATGATATTTTTTTTAAGATTTTAGTTTGAACATATATCTGATTATATTATTTTTATTATTTAAAATTTATTTCTTCAATTGTTTGTTTCTTATTAAAATTCTCATCAAATTATTTTTTTATATAATTTTATTTGTAAATAATTTGATTTTTTATATATATTGATTTTGAAATAAAATTTAAGAACGTGATTGCTTTATTTTTTAAAATATATTATTATAATTTATACAATTGATTATTTTTATAATTTTACATATATAAATTCTGCTGAGATAGAAAGCTAATAGTGTGTTTAGATATTTTGACTTGATTTTTTAAAAAAATAATAATCAATTAAAAAAATAATTTGACTGAATTTTTTTAAAAAATTAATAATTAGTTAAAAAATTTAAATATTTTATTTGATTTTTTATATATATATATAATTAGAATTTATTGAAACCAATTTTATAATAATTTTTATTTAAATTTATTCACTTCAATGTATTTCATTCGATTTTAGCGAGTTTTTTTATATATTTTATTTATTTATTCCGTATGCTTTGAATATGCTATAATATCAATTATTTGTTTTTTTTTTTGTTCTAAAATCTATATTTTTAAATAAAATAATTTAATTAATGTTTTGCAAGAATCTTTTAATTATTCAAATATAAATTTTATATTAATATTATAAATTATTTTGTTAATAAATATATATAAATCAAACAAATTCGCTTAATGTATAGATTCGATTTACATTAATCTCCAAAAACAAAACTTCTACTTCCGTCACACCATACGAATCGTTAACCTTACATATTTAATAGTTGTCTAACAGCAACATAATACGGATATCTAACTAGTTAAAACTAGACTCCTTATAATTTTTTTTGTTTCACATCAAGATATTTTCATCAATTTGTATCAGAATATTTATTAGAACAAATTGAAAAATAATCTAAAATACAAATACAAATTGAGAGCAAAATATTTATTTCCAACAGATTTGCGATTTCAGATTTGCAACCGTCAAAATTTCTGCCAATATAATTAATCCTCATATGTAACCTGGACTTCTCCGCATGCCTATTGTATCAGCTCAATCAGTAATAGATCATGGGGATGCAAGATCTAGGTTTATCATCGCCAAGTTACTTCCCTTACAATCATTGCTGTATTTTGCACACTTTGCAACGAAGCCTTTCAGTTCTACGTTGCAATCAGGTCGAACCATCACTCATCGAGGCAACAACTGCTTACCATGGCTAATTTCCATGGCTCATGTTGCAGCCTAGAGCAAGATCGAGTCCCACGTTAGATTTGAGTTATCTTGGCATGTTGCTCATACATTGCTTGCTATAGTTGTTTCATTCTGGTTCATCAACGCTTCTTGGAACTTTGCACGCTTGGCAGCCCTGATGTCGAGTATACTTGGTGGCATAGGTTTGATAGAGCCATGCAACTCAACCAAGTGAAAAAATTCTTGTTTGGTCAAACTTTTCTTCAGGACAAGTTCATCAACAACAGCATCCATCAGCTCACGGTTCTGCTGCAGAATCTGACACGGAAACAAATCGTTTGCTCAAAATAAGGATATTAGGAAGTTGCAAATAAGAGCTTCTTTTGCATTATATTAAGTACCTCTTTTGCAATATCATAACACGAGTTCATAATACACAGCGCCTCCAAATCAATTTCCTGAAATTTGCAAATATCCATCACAGAATGCAGCATTAGTGCAAAAATTAGAATATAATCGAGATAAAGATGTTTGCATTAGCATTTCATTTCAACTGAAACGTCGAAAATTTGCTCTGTTTTTAGTCATCTTCAATCCAATTTCAGCTTGTAGAAAAGACAAGGTAAAAATATAACCATATATATATATATAGTAATTCAAGGGCAAAAATATTTGCGGTGCATGTAACCATGATGCAAGGTGTAGAAAAGATCATGTATGCCTACATTAATTCGATCTTCAACCCAGAAGTCGGATAAACCATAATGTTTCTCAGAAAGGCCACCGAGAACATAGCTCCGTGCTGCTGATCTAGCATTATCAGCCGTTTCAGCCCATATCGTACTCAACTGGAATAGTTTCATGTATCAAGGTGAATATTAGCAAACCAGTTTAGACTACAGAATGCATAATATAAGGTATATATTGTCAAAATACCAATCCTGATAAACAAATAAGAACCAACTTACACAACAAGCAACATATGGTCATATCAAAAGCACTAAACTGCCAGTGAGTTTAATATCACAAAGGACAACATGGTGGTTTCTCAAAGCCAGAATGGTAAGAATTGAGATGATCCAAGTAAAATGACGCGAAAAAACTGTTTGCTTGAGAAGCTGAAAGAAGGAATTGCTAATTGGAATAGTCTAACAAACTGATGAAATATTTCATTTATATCATTCAGCAAGAGCAAAATCACCAGAAGAAGTTGCCATTCATCTGTTTTTAAATTCAAGATTGGTTGCTTTTTGATATCAAGAGTTCTGCCTTGCAATAGCTTGTAAATAATTTAATCAACTCAATAAAGAATGAACACCATTTGACTTTGAGTCCTCAGATCTTAATATGAGTTGATCAAGCCAATGAATTGAAGGACTGTTGGTTTCAATTAAACAAGACCTAAAACGTACAAAAGGAATGAATTGCTACATATATCCAAGCATGCTGAATCACAACCACACATGCTACAAAGGTTTATTTACCTGACCCTCACCATGCCAAAGCTCATCAGCTGCACGCGGTGCCAGTTGAACAGTGATATGGTCCAGAAGGGACTGCCGACTGCATTATACAAAGAAACAAGAGGGTATCAAAAGAAAACTATGAGTCCATAAAACAATTTTCAACAATGCAATCACTGCAGTAATTGTAACACATACGGTGCTATTGTACTGATCACGGTTTTGCATGATTTTTATTTGGCTACCTTTGAGCAATAGAAGACATTGAAGACTTAAAAGATATATATACCTAAGCATTCCTTCCTTAAATTTGACATGATCCATTTTCATCCGAACATAGCCAAGTTCCCTACCAGCTCTGGGTGCAATTGTGACCTGATCCAATAATTTTAAGATTCAAAATACATTCATTATGGGAACAATTTGTGAAATATCCAAGCAGAAACACCTGATAAGTTCAATTTCCAGGTAATCATCTCAACAAAGCCAGATATTTCAATAGCAAGCAGAATAAAAGGGAAGAGTTTCGAGGACACTGAAAATATTTGGACCATAATTGGAAAACCTAAAAGATGACCATCAGAAATTGAACTGCTGTTGCAGCCTAGAAAATCCCTATCCGTATAACAGGGTAAGATTCAACATATAAAGTAAAGACCCAAGAACTTCGCCAAAGTTTTTTTATAGACTTTTTTTGCTAGTTTATATGCTTTCCTTTAAGTTAAAACATCACTTTGGGAAAATGAAAACCAAACACCATTAACCTTACATCACAGCAAAGCCTAACACCATACTGTAGAGTCTGTTGTTTGAAACACTTTTGCTGCTCTGTCCATGGTCATACTCTAGAATTTTGCTGTTTCCCATTAGAATTTCCAAGACTTTCCAAATATATGAGAGCAATTTTTCAACATTTGCAAAACATATCATTTAAGAAAATGGAGCATCCTTAATGAAAGCTTAAAATCAAGGTTACAAACAAAGAACAGGCAGAGTCCCTTCTCTTTCTTAAATCTACTAGTCAATGGCAGCAAAATGTGAAATATATTTGCTGACTACCAAAGCTTTCAGCTGTCTAAATGCATAATATTGTGCAAATCACTAACATATGCCGTAAATTTGATACTCATCCTCCCCAACCTTCAAATTGTTCAAATAAAAGGTGTCTCACTAATCCAACATCTTGCTTTTTGAAAAAAAAAAGCTAGATACTTCTTCTCAGTTTTATTGCCCTTTAAAATTCAATGCCAGTTGTATAGCACCACAACTAGCATTCAAAAGGCTTGTGCAAATATATTCAATGACTGAAGCAAAGTGCATAAAAAATGCTGGGGTACATTTAGGGCCTATATTAAAGATGATTATGTGGTAATTTTGCACTCTCACTGTCTACACATAGAAACAAGCTATGAATCATGCCCTCTATTCTTCATCTCACACATCAAAAATGGCTTTTCAAGAAAACATCATCACAAGATTTAACTTAATCTTGCTCTCTGAACAAGAATAAAGGTTAGTCAAGGATATGCAGCTGAATGAAAGAAAAAGTACTGAGAAAAGCTCTAAAAAAAAACGAATTTAAAAGCCATACAAACTCGATATTTCTGAGATCAGGAAAGTTCACAGCAACAACAGCCATGGCTGCTTCATTAATAGCTACTTGCTTCCATGTTTCAGGGCTCCTTTCCTTTCTATCAAGCATTCCTCTTTCTTCTATTTGTGCAGCTTGTAATAAGTCATCAGTTGTAATCTGTACAGGCAAAATAAGTTTTTCACTTTAATTATGTTATACACAAAAGTAATTATTAAATTATAAATCAAATTATTTGCGTAAAAGTTGACGGAGAAGACTGTATGATATAACTAACAAATTAACCCAACGAAATGAGCAAACATCCAAGTTTTCACAGTTAAGCAATAATATTTCATCAACATTTTGATTATTCATGGAAACAGAGTATTTAACAAAAGATGGAAACCGGCATTAAAATGAATTATGGGCAGAAGTACTTAAGGCAGGAAAGGAAGATAAAAAAATCTTACGGTCGTGCATATTATGGCATAGGCAATATTAGAGGTGGTCACATCCAAGTAGTGGCTGGTTTTTATCTACATGGAAATCTTATATTCCAAAATTTGAGGCCTGAATAGAAGGTGATTTTTGGTATGATCATAAATTATAAGCAAACTTAAATCTACAATAGTGTGCCAACAAAGAATTGGTACCAACAGTAGATAGCTATGTCAACTGCAATATAATTCCTAGGAATAGACAGAAAACACAAAAGGGATCTCTCCTAACCGTAACAAAAGCACACACTTAAAGCTTATTTTGATATGGATATGGCTATGAACAGATCATACTTTTCAAGATATTTGTGGCGAAAAATATTGTCTAATAGATTGCCAGACAGAGTATGTTCCCAATAGGAATTGAAGTCTCAGTTCCATCAAGTCTTATGTGAGACCTCACAATTTACCTATGCTTTTCTGTTTCCCTGGTTTAAAGAACATTAAAAACTGCCAACGTTCCAGATTATTCCATTTCTCACAACTCTTCAGCAACTCAGGTCTAATGACATGAAATCATACTGGCAAATAGAGTAGGATTATGAATTTACAAGAGTAGGCAATACCTCAGTCCTTCCATCACGCATCATATTAATTGCAGCAACCTCAATTATGTTGGCCAGCTCTGCACCAACCATTCCATCTGTCATGCTAGCAACAGCCATATAGTCCACATCATCAGCCATGGGCTTCTTACGAGCATGAACCTATTACCAAGAAAAGAATACAATGGGAAAAATAGAAGCTAGCAGGTGCAGAATGGCCTGGTCTCACAATGACATAAAGAAACTGACCAGGGGAAAAAAGAAGAAGAATAGAAAACAAGAACATATCGAAGATAATAAATCGTTACCTTTAGAATTTCCATGCGGCCTATGAGGCCAGGTTTAGGAATAAAGATTTTTCGATCAAACCGCCCAGGCCTCACAAGTGCTGGGTCTAGAATGTCTGGTCTATTTGTGGAAGCAATAGTGATCACTTCCCCTCTGCCTTCAAACCCATCCAAGCATACAAGGAGCTGGAATTAGAAAACTGAACATCAATCCTCAAATAAAGGTTATTTTAAAACAGTAGCACTGAAATCTCAGAGTATAGTTTTAGGATACACCCCAACCAACCTGATTAAGAGTGGCATCACGTTCTTGTCCACCAGAACCTTTAATCAAACCACGCTCCCTTCCAACAGCATCGAGTTCATCAATGAAGACAACAGATGGAGCCTATGCAAACAAAAATAGCTATGATGACATTTTATTTTTTTTTAAAAAAAGGTTTCTGGAGCTTCAAAAAGTGGTGTTGCATTCTGAAAGACATTCAGCTCTCTATTTGAATTTGAAAACAGTGAAGAAAACAAAGGGCAAAGACATGTCCAAATTCACAGTGAGTACAGATAGATGAAAACATCAGCGATATCACACCAACTATCATATGAGGAACCACAATAATGAAGCAGCTAAAGAGAACACCTACATTTTCCTTTGCTTCTTGGTAAAGTGCTCGAACACGAGAAGCACCAACTCCAACATATATTTCCACAAACTGAGAGGCAGAGATGGAGAAGAAGTTTACACCTGCCTCACCAGCCACAGCTTTTGCCAGTAAAGTTTTCCCCACCCCAGGGGGACCACAAAGAAGTATGCCACCTGATTGAAAAACCAATTCAAGTGGACAAGTTATGCACGCAGGAAAAAAAGCATCATGGCTTTATAAAAGTAATCTAATTGAAGATGAAAAATCATAGAAACCAGATATGGTAATTATAAAATATAATTCTTTGTTCTACATCCCTTTCTGCTCTCCCTTTCAATAACATTTAATAGCACAGAATACTCTATCCCCAAGATTATCCAGTGAATTTCAACTAGACCAAATCTAGTGCCTGTAATCATCCCAGAAATAGAACAAAGGAAGAATGCATGTATGAGGTCATGCAATTTGACATGCAACCAAAAGTATGCGTTCAAATGAACTTACATAGTGAAAGTCAAGGGTTTAATGAGAATGTCACAATAGCCTATGATAATTTTGCTAAAAGCAAGCTGTTATTCCCACTCCTTTTAGCCCTTTTGACATTGTGGTTTGCAGATATGAAATTAGATGTAATGACCTACTGTCTAACAAGAGACAAATGCCTCATGTAGAGTTAAAATGGGTAACAGCATTCATGCGGTGAGAACTATGTTGAGTTTTTATTACCTAATACTCACAAAGGAATGAATGTCTTGCAAGGCAAATGATAGTTCACTCTATGCTTGTTTTTTTTTTTTTTTTAAAAAAATCCTTTCATGAGTTCTGCATAAGGGAAGTCTGTTTGCACAATCCACTTCCAGATTGAATGTTTATAGTGACTCCACAACATGTAGAGCAAAAGTGCAGTGTTTGATGTAATTAAAATAAGAACAATAACATAACAATTAAGGTCCTCTCAATCAAGCCTTCATACTAGACAAAGAACATTTATGAAATGAGTAGCCGCTAAAACAAATCCTACTGGAAGTTCAAACCAAAATCATCCAAATAGCATACAATGGTTTTCAAAAATCTAACCTGGTATCTTCACTCCTCTCCTGCGGTACATCTCTCCGTGTGTGAAAAATTTCACGATCTCCTCAAGTTCAAGTCGTATCTTCCCAAGTCCTGCAACATCAGAGAATTTCACATCCACACCCCTTTCCAAGTACTGTGGCAATCTCTTATTATGTGCACGTCTAACACGTGCTCCTGACTTCATGAACTGCATAGCCATCTTCAAATAAGGATTCTGCTCCGGTTTCCCAGGCACACTCTCATCCTCATCCTCTTCTTCAATCCCCATCATCTCCTTCTCTAACTCCCTCATCTTCTTTCTCTCTTCAGCCTCTGCCTTCTCAATCTTCAGCCGGTCCTCATAGTCCTTCTTCTGCTTCCGATAACTAAGCACCACCGTACGATAAAATATCACAAAAAACACCAGCCCTAGCAATGTTGTCACATTTGAGTCTTGTGCTAAACTTGCCCACATACTTGCCATTCGCGTATAATTCTTTCTCGCATCACGCAATGATTCCTCATACTTCTGTATCCTAATCTCCCTCTTTCTCCTCCTGCCCTCCTCTTTCTTTTGCATTTTGATTGCCTTCTCAATCATTTCTCTTTCCTCTCTCATTTTCTTCAACTCCTCCTTCCTTTGCATCTTAAACTCCTCTCTGGCCATCCTCAGCTCCATAGCTCTCTTCGACTCCTTCTTAGGCTTTAACCTCGACAGCATAAACTCCGGAACTTTCCACAAAAATCCTAAATATGGCTTAGGCAGCTCCGGTCTCTTTACCGGAGGCGTATACGCATTAACACACAAAGAATCAATCTTTAACTCATCCCACGAATCCCAAAACCTCTTATTACTCTCTAACGAAGGCAAGACAGTCCTTAACACTTGATTATCATCCAAAACCACTAAAACAGCCTCCGCACGTTGTTTTAAAGACGCATTAGGCGCTTTAATCACATGCTTAAGCTTGTTAGCCTCTTTCAAACTCAAAACTTCAGTATATGGTATTCGATTGGATACAACTGGGAGATTCTGAGACCATTGTTTAAGCTGGTCTGGTGTTAAGGCTTCTTGTTGTGTCTTTTTGTGGGTTTTCTTTTTATGGGAAGTTCTGGCTGTTGGTGTGGCAGCAAGGACAGGCTGTGGAGTGAGAGAGGTGGCGATGATAGTGAGAGTTACAGGTAAAGTGAGCAAATTTAAATGGGTTTTTTGATTGGTTTTTTCAGCTTTGTCATCATTTTCAAGATTTGGGTCTTGTTTTTTGCATGTAATGGAAGGGCAAGTGATGGTTCTTAGTGGGATTTTGTGAGGTTTTTGGGTGGTTTTGAGCTGTAGTGAAGAGCTCCAAGGGAAATGACAGGCCATCAAAATTGAAAAGTGAAATTATGATTTTCAAAAGGAGAATATAAAGACAGAAACTGATAGAGAAACAGAAACCTTACATTGTTGATTGTGAGACAGTGAGCTATGGTTGTGCTTGATTGAATTCGAAAAAACAGATGATTTTGCTGTCTGTGTTTCGGTCTGGACGTTAGAAGGTGAAGATTGAGAGGGGCTTCAGAAGAACTTGACGGAGCTTGTTTCTCTTCCATAGAAGACAAGAAGGCACCTTCGTTTTTCTAAATGTTAGGCCTCTTCGGCCCAATTATATTGGGCCTTCGTTACCTGTTGGATACTGAGCTTGTTTTTCTTCCGTATAAGACAAGAAGACACCTTTGTTTTTGTAAATGTTAGGCCTCTTCAGCCCAATTAGATTGGGCCTTCGTTACCTGTTGGAGATGTCCATTAGAGAAATCCTTGTTCTTGTGCATCTAAAAACCAATAAAATTTTGAAATGCAGGAGTAAAGCCAAGGATGCCATCTTGTAAAAGGACAAAATCACCCCAGGTGCAATTTACAAGATCCAAACGATACGATTAGTTTTACAAGATTCTCATGTGGATATGCATTTCGATATAACAAATATCACTCTTTACAGGATCCGTGTGGGATGTTGGGTTGCCGACTTGCCATAAATTGTCTAACGCATAAATGTTTCAATATATGTGTTTTGACCTTAAAACTTACATAAACTTACATTATTTTGTTATTTTATGCTGTTAAATTTAAATTAGAAAATTTTAATATGAGTGTTTCATTTTTTTTTCCTTATTTGAACATCCAACCGATAAAAGTTTCTATTTAAATGCTAAAATTTTGAATTTTTTTTTAATGCATACAGTCCTTTGAATTTGAAAAATACTCAGATATCCAAAATAAATTGTAACGTGATAGTTTTTATCCAACACATGATAAAAAATAGATCTCACTTGAATTATTAAAAAAAAACTACAATTTGAGTGCTTAATTTTTTTATTTTTTTTTTAATTTGAGTATCCAATATTTGATTTGAGTATCTAATTTTTTTTTCTATTTGAATGTCCAATATTTGATTTTATTTTTATTTAAGTTCTTTCGGTCAATTCACTAAGAAGTAACAAATCCCAATCCGATTTATTGAGAGAAACAATATAAAATTTTGATAAGAGAAAATACTAATGAATACCACGTGTAGTTTATAACTAACGAGTGACAAAAAGTTGAAAAAAAATGATATTTAAACATGCTATATATATATATACACACACACATATATATCAGTTTTCAACACAAAAATTGATCTTGAAGTCATTAATTTAAACTACGAGAAATGATTTTATATTTTTCTCCGGTATATTTATGGCGGTTCAACAAATTGATCTTCAATCCTTGAAATGGCGCCAGGGCAAACTGACATTTTCTAATTGGAAATTGCATTTCTATCAATTAAATTTCGCACATCTAATGGAAAAATCTCGAAGAGAAGACCAGCGCAAAGCCTCAAACTTCTATAATCTGTCAGTTCCAATTTAAGATGGCATCAGCATGACTAAAACTATGTAACCATTTGTTTCGTCATCGGTAAGCAAAACCCGATAGCCTGCCAGAAACAATGAATATATATGCTCTCATCCATTCCATATAAAACTAGCTACCACAATGACTTTTAAACAAGCTGGTCATAAACGGCTCTAAATTGAGACATGGTACTGTAACAAAATAGACAAGCCCTTGTTATTTACAAAGGGTAAAGTGCCATAATCACAAAATTTCCAGTAATGATAGAAGATATTACTGGAATTAATTAAAGGATATACCCTTATTTCGTAGAAGTCGTGTGCCTTGTCCAGGAAGGATAACATCAAGTAAGTCTGAAGGCAAGCATCTTCAATGCTTGGATCTGGAGAGCCACATGACTTCCTGAACTGCAGATGCAGCAAGCAAGAAGCAGCTCAAGAAAGTGAAGAATATAGAGACAGCAACATGGTCACAGAAGCTCTGTAAAGGCTTGCAGAAATTTGGCAAAGCTGTATGCCGGATTCCTGTGCGATTGAGGTTGGTAACTCCTGATGAAGCAGCCCCGGCACTTATCATTGCATATGCAAACACCTGCAACTCAAAAATTAATGAGACCGAAGTAGAGCACTAGATTAATGCAGGCATGAAGCAAAATACTGGAAGATGCACGAGTACAAACTCTACATAACAAGCATCCTTAATCCCAGCTAAGGTGACCTGGGCAATCTTGATGAGACAATCAATTAGTAGTGTTTTCAGCTAGGGAAAGTAGCAACAGGATGTTCCAATAATTTGACAACTGAGGCACTACAAGCTAAAGAAAATTTGAGAATCCTTTGGAAACAGAATGGGATATCAAAATGACAAAATGGCCAATTCCATGGGCTTGATTCCTAACAATGTGATAACGACAGTTTTAATTAACAATGTGATTCCTACCATTAATTGTAAATGGCTTTTTCAATTTTGTGCATGCTCCATTTGCAACTCCTACCATGAAATGGTGAAACTTTAGTACTCCGTAAAGCATGTACTATATAGGTGGGGTCAATAAAGAAGACTGCGTCTGGTTAATTTTCTTTCTCACGTAGTTGCCTTGTTTAGTAAAATGGGCTAGCTAAATTCTGTGGATTTTCTAGATCATTAATAAGCTAAGCACATAGAATCTTCGTTTCCTGATAAGGAAAAAAAAAATTGTCTGAACAAATGAGAAATTTCATAAATGCGAACATATTATACATATGTGAAACACTTTTGCTCATTGCAACCAAAACTACTCCGAAGCCACGATCTAAGAGACAAGTAGCAGAATGCGTGATTTCAAGATACGCTTTTATGTGTATACCTGATCTCCTGCAAAAAAAGCCACGCATGGCTTCTTGAAGGAATCACCGGAGAATTTCGAAGCAACCTTGACAAGCTACTCAGCAGTTGCAGCAATGAGTGTGCTGCAACAGCCGCAGAGACTCCAACCAAATATCTGTTCAGCACCAAGTAGCAGAACTATCAACATTAATTAGGTCATCCAAATTTACACAAATATAACTCTTTAATATATGTTGTTCTTAAAGTGGCAAGGACTCCTCCAACATGAGGCCTTTTCCTGTACTGCTTTGCTCTGCAGGAAGGTATTAAACAGTCAATGCAGGTTAACAACTCGAACCTGAGATCTTTCTGGGAGGGATGGCATGGGTGCCGGCTGAGCTACAAGCTCATGGTCAACAACTTCTTGTTACGGAAATTTATTTTACTATTTTTCACTCATTTCAGCATCAACAGCCATAAACTTCAAATGGTGGTTAAAAAACAAAAGAGTAAAAAAATCATAATCTGACCAAGACTCATAAAGGTAAATAAATACTAAAATAACGAAAAAGCAAAGAAGAAAACAACAACAGTCACGGGTTTGATTCTGTTCATTCAAATGCCATGAAAGTGGAGGGTGGGAGTACCGAAAAACTGTTGTTAGTCAAGGAAGAAACAAAACCAAGGGCAATTTCGTCAACGTAAAATACAACAGAACCGGTGGTTTTCCATACTACATGACAAACAAGTAAGGTCAGACCCCGCTTTTGTCGGTTAAGATTGGATTGGACAACACATACCAGAAAATTAATTTTAATAAACCACAAATTGAGGTTCTTGTAATCAATTAAAAATCAAAAAGGTCAAAAGGTAAAGGGCTCAAATTGCCACCTAATTTAGATTGTTTGGTTTGCAAGAAAATGCAAGAAAATATGCAAAAGTAAAGCAAGTAGATTTTGAACATCAACACAATGGCACGCTTTGTTTTGTCCATGGAAATTTGTGAAAAAAAGATAAAGCTTTTAATTGAACTCATGGTATGGCCAAATAGATAATCCCCTCCATTAACAAACAATTAAATCAAGCTCCAAAATAAACTTTCACTTTCTGTTATATTTTTCCCTCCGTTTCCCAGCAACCAAACAGCAGCAGCAAGAAGAAAAGGGACGAGGGCATTAGGGTAATTTTAACTTACTCAAATGAGGGAGAGAAGGACCACTTGGATTGAATAGGAAGCATGAAGCCATAGACGGAGACGGTGCTGGACTGTTTGGCTGTGACCATGAAGGACAGCGCTGCAACAGATGTCACCATGCACAAGCCCCTGAGTAACACGTGCATAACTTCAGCTTTCCGGCCAAAAGGCCTCATAGCAGCAGCCGCTCCCCTCCTGAAGCACCTACAAGGGGCCCACTCATTGCTCCACTAATGTTCTCAGCTGCCACCTTTGACTCAGGCAGCTGCACTGCCACCTCTGCTGCTGCCATTTTTTGCCCATTCATCATCATCGTGTTCTTGGTTTTTCTTTTTGTGGGTTTTTTGGTGCCTTCTGTACTATGAAGCGTTTTCAAAAGCTTTTTTGATCTGTAAATTGTAACAGGAAGAAGGCAATTAGGCACAAAACAGTGAAGAGAATGAGAAGGTCATATAGGCAACAGAGGCAGGGGTACTTTTCCCTCCGGTTACTTGTACAGTGCGTGCTTAAAATATATTAATAAATTAGTAAACACTTGCACTGTAACAAGTATGATAATAGAGCATGACGTTTTAGGGAAATTTAGCTGCAACCTCCCCCCGGCCCCCACCGACCATGACATCAATTTCATTACAAAAAGTGGCTTTCCTGAACTCCATTTCAAACAACGTTTGGACCAAAAAAAAAAATAAATAGATAATTTTAAGTTTAAATATTCTTTTTTTAAAAAAAATATATATATATATATCCCGAACACTCACCAGAAGAGTTTGCAGAAGGTGGATTGCTGAGGAAATTTTATTAATTAGTGTTTCAAATAAATAATTTGTTCGTTCTATATATCTAGATAGTCATAGTTAAATATTATCAATGTTCTTAACTATTTATTTAGTTTCTTTCCATTAGCAATACCTAGTGTCTGTCTACAAATGTGAACTTATCTGTATAAAATAAATAAAGAAAGGCATTCGCCTGATGAGAAGGAACGAATGAAAGTGCGCCACGTAGGAGATACAAAATTTCTGTATCGAATCTAGCTAGTCGAGTAAATACCTTGTACGTTATCTCTTAAAAAAAATAAAAAAAATTGGGTGGACTTAATTTAAAAAATCATTAAGTGCAGGGATTCTCAAAAACCACCAACTTTTGAAAACCCAAAGAAAGGAGGATAAAATATATTGAAAGTTATGGATGGGGAAATGATTGAAATATTCCATACAAGTTTTAATTACATTCAGTGTGTTTCATATGTTCGAATTATTTGAGGATTCCGGATCTAAAAATGAAAATATTGGCTTTGTAGATTCCTACAAGTGTCAAATATATCTCGAATTCTCGTATTATATTAAAAATATTGTTATTACTTTTTTTATGCATATATAGTTTAGAATAAACCTTATACTATTACATGTTAGTGTAAAATAGTTTCTCTCTTAACTTTAGTTGTCAGATTAACTAATTTTTGTTAGTCGATTTACATCGGATCAACTGGAGACACATGTCAACTTGAGGATAAAAAATATAATTTTCTTTTAAAATTATTTTATTTTTTAAAGTTTAAAAAATTAATAATTGTTATAAAATTATTAAAAATTAAAAAAATCTAAAGAAAAATTTAAGATAATAAAAAAATTTCTAATGAATTTATAATAATAATTATTAAATAAATTGCTTTAAAAAATCTAAAGAAATTATTTTTCAAATTTTAATGATCTTATAAAAATTATTAATGAAGTTTTTTTAAAAAATTTGTAATGATTTTATAATAATTATTAATTATTTTAACTTTTAAAAAATAATAATTTAAAAAAAATATATTTTTTTTATCCTTGAGTAGAACACGTGTTGCAATTTGATTAATCGAACGTTAATCAATTAATAAAAATTAATCAATCCGGTGAAAAAAAGTTAATAAAAGAGTTGTTTGACGTCAATTTCCAAAGTTTATTGCAAGCTATATTCGATAAAAGAATTACAACTATATTTTCTCGATATAGTACAGGATTAAAAGGTGTATTTAACCCATTTCTGAAAATGGAACTCTTATAACACATAGGAATTCACCAATGGCTTTTAAGGTTCCAGGCTAATTACCAATGTTAAGATCACTGGCATGCAAAATTAACTTTCTGCTTAAGCCCCAAGAACAAAGATAGGCAGGTAGGTGATCCTAGGTGACGGCAGCTTATGGAGGAGGGACACGTGGCTGGGATTGGGAGGGGCCGCAAAATGTCCCGTGACTGAACAGCATGGTACCAATGCATAGTTTCTGTACACAAATTTTGTTACGTCACCCCAGGATTTAGGATGTCGTGGAATCAACCCGTCAGACTCAAAGGCTCATTCTATTGGAATTTGGCACAAACCGACAGGGCCCTTTGCTGTTCTGGGCATTGAGTTGGGACCAAGCCAAGAAGTAATTAAAGTCGAGGACATAAATGACGTAACAGCTTCACTACCAATAATGCTACTAAAAGGTCGTGAGATATTTGCATTAAAGAAAGAGGAAACCTCGAGTTCACTTGATATACGTATGGATAGCTGAGAAAATGAACCATCACACGAAAATTAAGAGTTAAATTGCAGATATTCTTTTACATTTTCTTTCATCCCTCAATTTTTTTCGTCTTAAGTGATAATATAAATACCTTTTAAAAATTTAAAATTTTAATTGAAGCTCTCGTTATATTTAAAAGAAATATTATAAATATTTTATTTTATACACAAATTTTACTTATTATTAGAAAATAAATTTAAACTCACAAAGGATATTAATTTTTGGATAAAAAAATATTTTTATCTTCATTTTTTTCAGTTTTTTTATTTTTATTTTTAGTTTTTGGAGAAATGCTAGATATATCTTCACTTTTTTTAAAAAAAATATAAAGAAATAAGATTAAGAAAAAAAAAACATATATCACAATCTTATAGAGCTAATGATGCAATTTAATATCATTAGCTCAAAAAATTAACGAAATGACGATAATAGAAAAAAATAAAAAATAAAAGAATGGACTTAATAAATAAATAAATAAATAAAATATAAAGACACAAAAAAATGAAAAAAATGAAAATAAAAATCGAGGAACCTCTACAACAATTAAGTCTATAACTAATCAATTACAAGTCTACAAACCTTACCTTTGCTGTTGTTGGAAGATTAAAATATACTTCCGGCTTGTGCTTGTAAGGCTCGAGCCTCCATTGATATATGATGCTTTAAATTATAGTCTAAAAAAAACTATTTTTTATTCGAAATTAACAAATATTTTTGGACCATTTTGTACATTAATCAAAATCAATTTAATTTTTTTTTAACGATTCTAAGGATATATCCTCGTATCAGTATCATGCATTCATAAAAATTGTTTTGGATTGTAATCCCAAAATTTGAACCTGTAAACAAAGTCAAAAACAGAAACAAACGTTTTAAACAACCAGACCAACGTTTTTGGGCTAAAAAAAAAAAGGGTTTAAACTCCATTAAATTAAGATCTTCGCAATCTATTTTAGCTTCTGCATGGCCGTAAATTTACAGTATGGTCAGAATTTCGTCTCAGTTTTTTCCCTCTCTTTCATATAGAAGAGAAACTGTTGGTTGGGGTTCAAGTTCAACATAATAGCTAACCTGAAGTCATAAAATATCAGGAGACAGTTACGCCACGCATCACAGTCACCAGTCACCCCAGCAAATTCTCGGCGATGGCTGCAGTCTGCATCAATTGTAAGTTGGTAAATAATGCAGGAACAATTGAGAGAAGAGAAACCTGAATTTGAGGATGGACTTCCACGTGGGGGCTATAAATATCACATACATATATTTCTTGGAACTTGATGATGCAATTCTGGGTAGAGTCCTAGAATGATGAAAACTTTAGGGGATTTTGGTACCGTTTTTATTCTTTTTTTTTTCTGAAAAAATAAAATCGACAATAAGTTTTGAGAACTACTGAAAAAACAAATGACTTCCAAAAATTTTCGAAACAAGTTTCTTATACTTCTAGCATATATTTCGAGAGTAGATTGATTCAAAAGTTAGAAAATGATTGGTAATAAGATGGGAAAGAGTCTGAAGTGTCCTGGGTTTGGGGGGCCTGCCACTTGGGCAAGGACCAGGTTAGGGGTGGTTTGGGGTTCGGGTTGGGGACCCAAACCACATGTCTGCGGTTCGGGTTGAGATCAGGTTTGGGAGGAACAAGGTTTGAGCGAGGACTGATGATTGAGATCGAGATTGGGCCGGGACTAGTGGTGAGGATTGGATTGATACCGAGTCATCCGAGATTCGGGCTGGGGTGCCCAAGGTTCTTGTCAGGGCTGGTTCCGATGCTTTTGGGGTTCTAACCGATACCATGTCCTGGGCTCTTGGGGTTCGGGGTTTGGGTGGGAATCGGGTCTGGAGCGCTTGTGGTTTGGATGGAGATCAATTCAAGGGTTTAGACCTAGATCAGTTTCAAGGTTCAAACCGAGATCAGTGTTGTGGCTGGAGTCATAACTGGTGCCAAGGTGTGGACTAGGATTGGGCCCGAGGCGTCCGAGGAGGGTACCTGAGTTTTGACTGGCACCAGGTCTTAAGCACTCCGGGTTTGGACTAGAGTTCAGAGCAGGATCCGGGATATGGTTGGAATCAGATTGGGGCATGTGGATCCTATTTTCGAGTTTGGAGAGTCGAATGATCCGTTTTAATAACTCAAACATACGATTGAAACTAAACACACTTTCTAAAAAAAAAAAAAAAATCAATCACACAAGTTTTCAGGTTCTTAATAACTAATTAAAAAAAAAAAACTGAAATTGAAAACTAAAACAAAAATATACCAAACATCCCCCAAATAGATGTTCTGACGAGGAGATTTTATTAGTTCCACAGATATTTTATAATATTATTTCTGAAGAGGGATAGAGCTTCAATCATTTAACCAAAGCGCTGAAACTAAGAAACCTACCATGTCATTGGTTCAAAGTTCAATGTAGAAGCCCTGAACCCGAGATTGATGGTTCTGGAGTTGGTGGCCCCGCACAGCCTAGGGCCATTGATTGTTACTGATGCTTATGCAAGGTTTGTGCATCATACACGGAGACTTTGTCTTCGTACATGGCAGACATCAGATATTAGCCTTGAGTGTGTTTAGGGTAGAAAAAATTTCACTTGAATTGGAGGTCACTGATCAGCTTTGCAAATGGCCAACGGTGCAAGGATTATATTTACTCTTATTGTTAGAAATTTCAGAAAATATTTGGCAATTTAACTTATTAATTCACGGGAAGGGAAGCATACTCAGACGTGAAGCATTATCACCTAATGCTTTCTTTCTTTTTCCTTTTTCTGAAATAACCTAAATTTTAAGCCTGACCGATCAAGTTCGCTAGGAAGTAGCAAAATTGGGATGCTTAAGCCGAAACTAATAAATGCAACAAAATTATCATACGAGAGATTTCCTGGCCTCACTGAGAAAGGCATCAGAATCCGCTTGCAGCCTCGTTACAGTGCCTGTCTCAGATCATAGTGCAGTTTTCACAGACAGAGCATGGTACAAGCAAGACTCGAACATATCAAATTTACCAAAAAGTTAACATGGCAGAAACTGCAGTGCTGAAAAACAGATCTTCCAGTGCCAAACATCACGTGAAAACTCCCAACGGTAGGTTTCTTCTCTCCTACCTAAGCTCAAACTTCAAACAGTTCTCCCTTTCAGAAGAGGAAAGATAGGCTCCCATTGCAAAAAATACACTTCTCTCCTATTTTAAAAATATAATAATAATGATAGCAAGACAATAATTGCTTCCGGACAACTTAAACCAACAAAAAAGAGTTTGGTTTCTATTCCCTTTCAAGAACATCATAACATATTCCATTTCTCTACATTTGAGCAAATATCATTCCAGCAGATGTCTTAGTACCATCTTTTTCTTTTTTCCAATAGGAGTCTCAGTACAATTTTAAAGACAAGAAATATAACAAATATCTTTCACATGGGAAAGATGTTGAAACAGAAAAACTCTTGACTCTGTTATATTCTAGTTGCCGAAAACAATTATAGTATTGGTTGTAACAAGATATAAAAAAGGCTTTTGGGTCAACACAGGCTTCTAGCCTAAATGCCAAACATTACATCAAAAATTTTGGATACCATGGACTTTGCTGGGGAAGCAATCGCACCTCCTGCCTGCCGGGCACTAGTGCTGCCATTTTGAAGATAGTAGGGGCGAGGAGAGGCTCTTGAGGTGTTTGACTCAGGTGTTCTAGTAGACGATGGCGGGGGTAAGGTCATGAATCCCTGAGTGTTAAGTCTTTCATTCAAAGCCTGGCGTTGCATTGGATCCACTAGCTTCACACCAACAATTAGTACTCCATTGATGTGCACCCCGTTCTTGCTAAGAGCCTTCTGAGCATCAGATCGACTCTACACAGCAATAGGACAGAACACTAAATCACAATTCGTAAGCTTTGACATCACATCAGGAGCAGACTCACAATCATGTAACACCTCAATACCATGGGCTAAAACAGAAAAAGTTGTGCCCAAATCCTAATACAAAGCAGCAACTATAAAAGGTTCCAGAATACTTCTTGATACTGCATATATGTACAACGCACAATGACCAAAACAGATGGATAGATAAGATTGTCAACACTGCATATAATAGTAGTAAATATATTGCACACAATTCTTTGTGAAAAAGGAAGAAACAAACGAAGGGAAATAAGCAGAGGAAAGGCAAGCTGAAGAACTTAACCAGACAGCAGCAGAAGCAGGTTATTCTTTTTATCTCAATTGCATTCTTGCTTACACAGAGTATTCATTCTGCATGCTTATGGAATTAAATTAGGGGAAGCGGACTAACAAATTCCCAGGTCACTTGCTGATCTGAGAAATGACAGCTGAAATAAACTATTCACTCAAAATGGTCCAGTACCCAAGTCAGACCCTTTAAAAAACTGGCAAAAGATGTATGTCATGCGGACATTCCGTAGCACCCATATTTATGCAAATAATCCAGCATATTGGGTGATAGAAAAAAAAATCTACAGAAGCACTTAGTCGATTAGAACTTGTCACAGAACATCCAAACTGGTACACATGAATACTTCCATATTTCACACCAAAATAATGAAATTTCAGGGACAAGTTTAGAGCCCTAGAGCTCATAAAGTTAATAAAATATGACCACAACACACAGAATTGAAGCAATGTTAAGCCTCCAGAAAAGTTCGAAATTCTTTCACATGTATCACCAACTTTGTCAACTTTTAAGCTCATTCAGCATGTGTCTCTGAGAGGTAACCATTCATTCAAACAGAAAAACCATACAAGTGCCAAAAGCCAAGGGAAACTTTGCAATGAGGACATGAAGAAATTAACAAAAGAACATCCCCTCGGATGATGAAATATGGCGAACAATTATAACCTGATAAAGAATGTGCATCCAGTTAGCTTCCCTTGGACCAGGAACATGTTTCAGGATCACGCCACACTTCTCAAACTCCCGTAACACTAAATTGGTATCACCAGGAGCAAATCTGAAAAAGAAATATTTAAAATAAGTGGTATAGATCTAGAATGTAAGGTAACAACATGAAAAAATGGAGGAAATTTCTCAACTTGCACGATAGATCAATAAAGAAAAATAATGACAAGCCTCCACGGCTTCAGATTCCTGGCTGCATGCTCTTAAGAACTTCAGTTATCATCCAACCACTAGAAATGACTATAACAACACATTATTGAAATTATCATTGATTTGGCGCAAAACACTTCATCTTAGAAGTCAAACATTTTTTCCCAATTAAATCTGAAAAAGGGTTATAGGATCAATTCTCATGTTCTGCAACACACCTCATTAACTCATCCTTCTATAAAACAACCAATCATTGATCAAACTCTCTATCTTTTTTTTTTTTTTTTTTTTTTTTGAGGAAAGTAGCTCGTCATCTTCTTCTTTAGATTGATTTAAGCTTTATAATCAGCAGCAATTGCAAGATTTTTCTAATAGAATAGCAAAAAATACATGTTGGTAGGAGATTTGGTTGAGAACTTCTTTGGCATCAGGTAATCAACCTTGCATGAGCTGATGATACAGATGCTCCTGACAAGACTTCAATACCATAGAAGGGGCTTCTCTATGACTCTCATAATGACAACACTTTGCTCATCACATCCAGCATAAGATTTCAATATTGTTTGCTTAGTGCTATGTGAGCTTAAATTAGCTTATTTGTTTTTCTAATTGTCACACAGACAAGCGATAATCTGAATTTGTCCACACAGACAGTCATTTATAGGATGGCTGAAACAATTACATTGCATCCTGCTAACTCCTTTACAGGATTACAGACATAAAAAACAATTTCAAAAGCAGTTTTAATAAAGCATGGTCACTTATTTTGTGTTCTTGTTTAGTAGTTGGATAAGGCTTTTATGTCAAAATTTTATCTCATGATGATGCAGGGATATGCATACTTGCAATAACTTTTGAGAAAAAGTTGGAGATCTACATAGATTTAAAAGAATCATCAGCTACAGTTACAAAAGTTTTCAGGTGTAGCTCAATGGCCAGGCACAACTTTATAAAGTTAAATGATATAATTCTGAAACTTATTTGGCTATCTACATGCTACATATTAGCATTTAGAATGAACTCGTCTGCTACAGGCATAGAAAATACAATGAGCATCAGATTTGTTTGTTTAATTAAATTTTACACTTGAATTGAGGTACTTCCATCCTAAAATTGATAAGATCTTTCCTCCCTCACTCTAATTCAATTTGAGAAGGTCCTAATCCAGAAAGTTTTATTCGAAAAAACCAAGGATTGTGTTTTAGATTTAATGATATAGATGATGGGTTCAATGCTATCATATCTTCAACAAATTGCTAGTGACAATATTTCATCAACTCTATTCAGTTTCAACTAATGATTGTACAAGAAATAATCACAAATCATAAACTTGGCATTAGCAATTTTGATACTTAGATTTCTCTTACTATAAGCAACCTCTAAGGCTCTAACTGTTTGACAGGACATTAAAAATGCAGCAACGAAGAGATCTTCCAATAGTTTTGATAAGAATTCTAGGCATATCAATGTAGAAAACAGCAAAAATGGAAAGCTATTTGCACAATAACCATGAGTTTGCTATTTCATCGCCATTATAATAAGCAAGACCCCAACTATAGTACTGAGGCTTAGTTATTGTTGTTGTTATATAGTATGTAAGACCAGCAATCTAATACAACACTAGTTCAACGTAATGTGTACCTGTGAAAGAATATAGCAAGGAAAAGCAGGGAACATAAAACAACATGACAAAATGCTAAAAGAGGAAAACAAGAAATAAACAAATCAATGAATGCATACAAGAAGGGAGACGAAATCATACCCATAAACAGTAACCCATTCTTCCTCATCAAGGTTCCCTGCAGGCAAACTGTTCCTCTGCATCTCTGGTCTTGCAACTTCTCGAGGTGGGGGAAGTGTGATTAAAGCTCCAGACTGGACCACACCCTCAACTGGAGAACCTTTTCCTTTCTCTTCTTGTTCGCTGCTTCTAGCTTTTGCAGGTGACCACCATGTTGAATTCGCTGAACCCTGTTGATTCTTCTGCCCACTCATTAAAGCAAAGGAAGTGCTAGCCTCCGATTTGCTTTTTGCCGGAGTACCAAATTCCCTCCCAGAACTTTGAAAAGGACTTCTCGGGTCCGATTTGTTCTCTGGGGATAAAGGGTAATCAGGAATCCCAGACTCAGGAGAGAAATCCGAACGGTCCTCCAAAGTGTAAATGGGAGGAGGTGGGAGATCAGAACCCCCAAAATTCTCACGCCATAGAGCAGATACCGCTGCAGCCTGACCTGGAGTCGAGAACTTCCCTTTACCAGCAGAAACAGGGGATGCCAAATCTTGGAAAAACAAGGATTGCCTCCCCGATGATTTAGGCGTTCTTTGTACTAAAGTGCTCATCTTATCTTATAACAACACCTAAAGCAAAGGGAAACCTCTCTACAACCAGCAACACAGTCACCAATCAACTTCCGGCCATAAACAAAAATAAAAAGAGAAAATGCGAACAATCTCGTTACTTAAAAAAAAAAAAAAAAAAACAACAACAACTGTAAAGATACTATCTAATAAATAAACAAAATCCTCTAAAGCAACAATCAACAAATTATTGGAAAAAAAATAAGACAGACCTGCAAAACTTCATAAAATCAAGTTCAAATTCCAAGTCCTAAGCAAATCCCCTCCAAGTTAGTTCTCATTTGAAAAAAAAAAAAAAAAAAAAAGAAGCAAAATTTCTTTAAAATGGAAATTTCTTTAAAGATGAAGAGAGAGAGAGAGAGTACCTGTGATTTTATGGGTTTTTGCCTCCGAAAAGCAAGCAGAGAAGAGACGAGAAGAGAGCTGTGTGTAGCTCTGGTCTCGGGTGCGGTGAAGCCCTAAAACCCCGATTTCTATGAATTCAAATCAAATTCCAGTGCTCAAAAATTCGAGTTTTAGTTGAATGACGGAAATGGCCTCACTTCTTGGCTCTCTTTCTCTGCCGTGGGCAATTTTTTTTTTTTGTCTATATCTGGCGCGGCGCTTTTAACCCGTTCTTCCATTATTTTGACATCCTAAGCCCCACACTTTCGATTTGTTTTGAATGAACCCCTTAATTAAAGTGAGAGAAAACAGTTAATTAAAGCGGGAACCTACCAATGGTATATTTGAACCAATCTACTTTTTGAAAACAAAATATTGCTAATTTTAAAGAATTGACATGATAGTTAAGAAAATTTGTTCTATTTTTTGACCTTTTGAGTTCAAAATATTGAAATCAGTACATGCATTTTTATTTTGACTTTTTGGGTTTAAATACCGAATCATTACATAGAAAATTTATTAATTTTTTTTCTAAATGTATCCTATTCATATATGAGTTTATCCTTAAAATGATTCAAAAATTATAAATCAATGTAAAAGGTGCATTTTTAAAATCATTAAAGAAAGAATTTACTCTTAGTTAATACCCAAATTGGTCCTACAATAACCTTACCATAGCACAAAAAAGTAAAAAAACAAAAAACAAAACACAAAATATATCTAATTTTCCAAATAAATGGTATAAAAAGTAGAATTTTACAACCATAGGATACTTGTTATTGGACAACTTCCATGTAAATTCTTTTTTATTTTCTTTTTTCAATTACCCTGTTGTGTGGAAAAAATTAATATCTTGTTATATTTCTTCTTAAATTCAGTTATGGTAGTGTAGAAAAAATTCATACCATGTATGATTTTTTTTTTCAAGGTGTTTTGGTTTTGAGTCCGTTTTAGAGAGAAATTGTTAGATAGACTTTAATAAACCACATCAATACATCATTTATAAACTAGGTCATAAACACAAAATACACATTTAGAGTAGAATAATACTAAGGGTACTCAAAAAAAAAAAATTTTAATTAAATTTTGCTTACTAAGTGACGTGACAGATATTACAAAAAAAAAATTTAAATCATAGAAGATAGATTTTATCATATTTAATGAACTAATTATAGTTATGGAATTGAGCGATTAATAAAACACTAATTACATACTATCACATCACTTAATAAAAAATTTTAATTAAAAAAATTAAGCACCTTTGGTATTATCCTTTAGAATATACTAGATTTTTGACCCGCTATTGTCTTGCGAGTTGGATAAAATATATAAAATTATTTAGAAAAATTATTTCAGTTTAATAATCTGTTTATGATAAAAAATAATTATAATTTTTTAATGAAAAAATTATATTTAACTATTTGTTATTTGTGTTTTTAAATTTTAGAAATAAATAATAAAGGAAATAAATTATTGGTTTCTTTAAAATTTTAACACCCAATTAATTGTTGGTTCTTTTAAAATTTTAACACCCAATATTATTAAAAAATAAAAATTAAAAAAAAAATTCAATGTTTTTTTTTTAAAAGAGGCCAGCTGTTTTACTGTTCATGTGAACAGTAACTGATGGAAGTTAAAAAAAATCAATGTTTAAGGGAAAAAAAGGGCAAGCCGTTTACTGTTTAAATAAACAGTAAACGGGTAGAGGGAGAGGCCACAGGGTGTGACAAAAAGAAAAATGAAAACTTAAGGAAAAAAAAAAACAAAACAAAGCAAAAGCACGCTACAGTAAAAAATGATTTTACTTTAGTTTATAGGTAATATGATAATCTTTACATGGTATAACACTCGCATCTCACACAAAAATAAAACTTCCTAAACATTTTGGGGCTAAAAATCACGCTAACTCGTATATGCCTTCAGTTTTTGCAAGTCTTGACACAAAATGGATCGTCTCTAGACATTTTGGCACTAAAATTTAATCACAGAGATCTTTAGGCGTTAGAAGTCATACACGTAACGAACCAATCACATGAAAACTTAACAGATTTTTTTAACCGTAAATAACAATGGAGGGTTAATTGTCCAAACATTAGTTTAAGTTACGGTGGATTGGCGGCCAAATTGTACAGTCCATTTTGAAGCCAAACTACATTTTACCCCTATAACTTAATCCGTAAAAAAATCTATAGTTGCTATGATGGCTTGTAATTACAACTGGAATAACTATACTATAAATACATTAATTTTTAATATTTTTTCCAACCTAATATATAAATTTGAATTATTATTTTTTTAAGTATATATATATATATTTTTTTTTAAATTATCAATTAAGTATTATATTCAATTTTTTTGTCAACTACTCTATTATCTGATTACGTGTTTTTTTATTTCAAACTATTAAATTATGATTTTGTCTTTTTATTTTTTGAAGAAACTCTCTTTCAAATTATTTTGCCATTTTTGTACTTTTTGGATACTAAGGAATCGAGTATTCAAGAGCAAAAGGTAACAAATTCGGGTCATGGTCGATCCTTCCGTCTACAGGATTGGTGAACGCCGAAAGACCAATATCTGGAAAAAAAAAGTTTTATTTAGATAGAATAAAAGCCACCCACCTGACAGGAAAAGCGGCCTGGTATTGCTTGATGGACAAACAATTATACAGAAGATCCACCATAGCACCTCTCTTGAATTTTATCTCACCTGAAGAAAGTTAGTATATCCTCCAAGAAATGCATGAAGGAACATGCGGGTTGCATTTTGGAGCAATAGCCTTAGCTACCTAAGCAACTCGAGCAGGGTTTTATTGGCCCTCAATTCTCTGGGATGTTGAGGAGTTGCTACAAAAAATGCGATAAATGTCAAATGGTTGCCCTCGTCTCTCGCGATCTAGCCATCTGTAAAAAAGAAAAGGAGAAAAACCTAGTCTATCTTCACTAGGTTCGTCAATCCCTCAATGACCTCCTTAGTGCTTTGAGGTTTTATAGGCGTAACTGTGATTTTTTTCAAGAGGAGGAGACGGCATCTTGAGCAATAGATTAGAGAGGGCTGACTCAAAAGGAAAAAATCTACCCCCAATAGCAGCAGCAGCAGCTTGGATGAGAAACACCCTATTAAAGACTGGAACAAGCTCATAAAAAAAAAAAACCGACAACAACTTGAAAGAAGTCTACAGTAATGTTCTTCGCCTTGTTGTAGAAGTAGAAATCTCTTAACATCTCCATCAATCAGTCTGTTAAGGCATCAATTTGCCCGGAAGTTCTATAAAACATTTTGTAAAACTTCTCAGAATAATTTTCCACCTCCCTCAAGTGGGTAGTTTCCTCATGGGCAGTATCCTTATCCAGAGTCACAGCAAATAGACCTCTTTTTGAGCTCCTTAGTTTCCCGATCTCTAGTACCAAATGCTTTTTCATCCTCTTGTTAGCCCCAAGTCCTAGACAACAATCTACTCAGAAGCCACAGAGTTTTCTTTCTACTTTAAGGCCTTAACTAGAAAGCCATCAATCCACTTCAACTTTCCCTCTACCTTCTCGTAAAGGGAATGCACCTCTTTGTTCTAGGTGGTCAAGGGTGTTCGAGTCGACAGCCTCAACAACCTTCTTTCTTTCAGATTCCCACCTACAAATCCTACGACATGGTCAATCATAATCGACCATGTGTACCACCTAGCAAGTGACATGGACGGAATCATGGCCAACATCCAAAATATCAGGTGTTTTTGTCTCCACACATATATCCATGCAGCGATGGTCTTTTCAATTAAAGCATAAATACTAAGGCAAATATATATTGATGAATTTGATTATTGCAAAACAGAGATGGTATAAGTGAAAAGACTATTTAATTGTTGTGGATGTAACACGTGTTGCATACCTACTAGGATGTTGAGTTAGTCTTTGCAAATATGTTTGTCAAGACTCGGAGGCAATTGATACACTCGGATGATACGTGCACAACCTAAAAACCTCATATGCTTTTTTTTATGATTGACATATAAGTGTTTCCTTCCTCTTACGATACACATAGATAAAAGTTGGACAGACAAAACCACATCCGAACTGTGGATGGACGCATGCATTAACACTATCCTAAGGGAAGCTTTATGAAATGAATCCATTTAGTCATGCCCAGATAATCAGACCAATCCCTGCTTATAAAAAACAATAGATAGTACATTTTATAAATAAAAGCACACTTCTAAAGCTATTTTTGTTTAACCCATATCAACAATGATATATACATGAATATCAAAAGCATTTATCTCTCATCCAGAATTAGAGGTTATTGACAATAAACAAATACAAGAATACGTAGCTTAACCATTTATTTTATGCAACTTGAAGAGTCTTTTGATAAGATAAATAGTCGATTAGAGTCTTAAAGTTAAAGTTAAGGGTTTTAGATCTCTTCACTTGATACCACCATTTTTTTTTCTCTGCATCACAACCTTCTTTAGCTAATACTCCTCCTCGATCCTTGCACTAACTTATTGTCAGAATGTCCTCCATCTAATCAAGAAAACTTGTTTTGCAGTTATTCCATCCATCAGTCAATCACCAATCAATAAGCACCACCATCCTAACAACAGTTGTGAAAGAACCGCATCATCCTTAAAGGTCAAGCCACCTCATCACTTGGAGTGCGGAGAGACGAGTTAAGGGTGGTCTAAGCTATGTTGATAAGATGATACAGTGGATGCCTCCTCCAGCAGACTGGATCAGGGGTAAATACTTATGGTACTAGTAATGGCAATCCTTGGGAGAAAGGACAGGTGGGATTTTAGCAGGCATTTCTTATAATTATGGTGCTAACATTTGCACCTATCTTAGAACAGATTTTGGGCGGTTAAACATGGACTAGATTTGGCTTGGGAAAAAGGTCATGGGAAAGTCGTTATCGATACTGATTCTCAGGTGATTGTTAGCATGTTCTAAAAAGAGGATTGGAGGAAGAGAATCAACCCTGTTGTTATCATCCATAGCATCAAGCTGCTACTAAGTAGACAGTGAAAGCTTCGCATAATAGATGTTTTTAAAAAAGGTAATACTTGTGCTAACTGGTTGGCAAGACTCTGGGCAAGGTTGGATTATGGAATGGCTAGCTCGTTTTGACGTCTCTCCCACTCTCAGTAACCTCTGGGGGTAATGGTATTGGGAATTATCATTTCCCTTTGAAGAATTTGTATAGCTTAGTAGACTTGTAGTCTGTTCTTGGGCTGTTCACCTCTTTCCACACATACACACGCACTAAAAGAGGAACATGTTCGCTGTTCGCTAATCCATAGATTGATAATTTTAAAGCCAAAGCCTAAGTACTTGACCTATATATATATATATGCAGTTATTTGAACAAGCAATGCCATGAATAAAACTCGAGAATTACGTATAAACTTCAAACCTCGAGTAAGCTTTAACCATTAAGCTAAACCACAAGGCCAATATAATTTTAAAGAAGTAGATTACAAATCAGAAGTCCTTAACAACACGTTTATTTCCAATCATTGAAGAAAGTTTAAATTATAAATAAAATGACTAATTGTATATTCTCTAAGAAAAAATATAACATGACTAGAAACCTTAAAAAATTCCATATAGTACTTCATCAAAATGGGGCCGAAAGGGGCTCCTTAAGGTTCATTTGATCAGGGGATTCTTCTATATTTTCAGTGACACATGAGCATTGGCAAGGTCTGTCAATAATCTCAGCAGTCTCCTCCTTGCACTTAACAAGCTTGTCATTATGTTGATCTCCATTTTCCTCAATCTGATTCATCTGCTTTATTGAAACAACCGGTCTCAGTCCCTTCAAAGACAAGTTTACAACCAGCAAATTAAGTTCAATTTTCATGCAAAATGTAATTTTTTAGAGACTGGAAGTGGAAATCACCTTATTGAATGCAGTGGACGCTTCTTTTGGTTCCATCTTTTGAACTACATCCGCAGCCACTTCCTGGAAGAAATTAAGAAAAGATAGATGATTTTAGTAAATCAAATAGCTTTCGACACCAAGTCTCTACTAATGTTTGGTCACATCTTTTCTAAGGGAAGTATTTGGAACGAGACTTGCTATTTGCTAATTAATGGTGATATATACATGCAGAAAAACGAATTGATCAAACTATGCCTCCTACGAAAATTGTGGCTTTTCAAATTCTCATGGCTTGGTTTCCTTTTTGTTTTTTTCGGTAGTGACTAGATTTCTTGTGGTCCATCATTTGTAATCTTATGTAAAGATAAATGTAATTATTCGAGATAAGAAGAGAGAATGTATTCCAAATTTGATTAGTTATTAAACTACAAATGATAATATATCATGTCACTTCATAGTGCTGTAATAACACTCCAGTAGCTTGAAATGACATTAGTGAGTTATCAATTATGGAGGGACATAATCATTTCTCTCAAACTATTCATGGAAATTAAAATAATGATCTAAATGTTTTTTTTTTTCATTTTTAAATAGAGACCTTTCTTTCCTTTTTGATAAATCATACAATTTGATTAAAACTTCTAATCAAAGTGCAAAATACTCACTCAGCATTCTAGATAAAAAAAAAAAAAAAAAAGCTAAGGCAAGATCAATTATCAATTTTTAAAGAGACATGAGATGCTAAATTAGCAATTTCTGCAAAACCTAATAAAAAGAGACAAATGAGGAAAAGATGTCACATACCCTGGCATGGTTGAGTTGTCCTTCCCTTAAGGTCCTAGGCTCCATCTCAATAAGGCAACAAGTGTTAGCCATAGAAAATCCACAAGCCAAACCTTAGAAGCATAAAAGTTGGGTTGTAGCCCATCACCTCCAAGGCTCCGATATTCTAGTCATTTGCTTTATGCACATACCGGCACTATATATAGATAAGATATTTTGATTATACTCACGGATTCTTACAGCTTGATAGACTAAAAATTGAGGTTATAATTCAAAGAGCACCGTCTTAACCATTCAAATCCCGTGCCATAATTGTAAAGTACATGAACTCACGGGGTCATTCCCTCTCTTCCACTCTACATTGGTGGATCAATTTTCCTTTTTTCCTCTCGTTTTATGGTGGATAGGAAGAGAAATGATGGATAAGCGATTTGTATGAGTTGTTTAAATTGTGAACCAATTATTTTTTATGAATCTGTGAGAGCCTAGCAATTCATGAGTAGACCAATATTGGGGGAGATTTCCTTTTTATTGTCGCAACAACAAAAACATGTAAAAGTACTTTTGATTCTATAGCCTTATTAATATTATCTGCTGTAACTTCCGAACGACCAAGAGAGAGGTATAAAGGTGGTGAATAGATTTTGAAAGGATAAATAAAATTTTATGGAAAAATATAAAAACTATGGCCAAAAGGCAAAACAAGATTAAGATAATATGTATAAAGATGATAAATTTAAAATAGTTAAGCACAAAACAATAAAATAAAGAGAGTAAAAACAGAAAAAGTAAAACACAAGAATTTATCCTGGTTTGGCCACGTGCGTACATCCAGTCCTTAAGCATAACTTGAAAATTTTCAATCCACCATACGCTCCATCTTGCATGAGCTTAAGGAACAAAATTTTTTACAACCACTTTTTTCCCGGGTTTAAGAGCAATTCACTTTTTATAATGTCAAGGTCATTCTAACCAAATTCTATCAAAAATAAAAGTAACCCAAATGATTGTGCTTGTGAAGTATTGAAAAACTCTTGTATATATTAATCTTGAAGTGAAATGTATTTATATAAAGATACATTCTTGTGATAAGGACTTATAGCTTTACAAGATAAATATAAAGTGTTTGATAACAAAAAAAAAATTGAGTAATGCTAACAATCCTACTTACTACTAACAATTCTAACACTAATCATTGCTAACGAGTCCTAACACCGCCCGACAATCCTTTGGGCATCTATCATGTGAAGCTTGTCTCTAAGAAACTGAAAATGAGATAAGAACAAGAGCTTGGTGAAGATATCAACTACTTGGTCGCCGATGGGAAGAAAGTGAACTCGTTAGAGCACTACCGGCAACTTGTTACTCGACAAAATGATAGTCTAGGTCGATGTGTGTTTGTCCTAGCATGAACCACTAGACTAGAGGTAAAATATATGGCACCAATATTGTCACACCATAGAACCGAGTTAGAAGTAGTAAAGCCAATTTCAAGAAAAAGAGAACGAACCAATATGATCTCTGCTGTGGCATTTGCAATGACTTTATACTCATTTGTTGTAGAAGAACGAGCTATGGTAGGCTATTTCTTGGCCATCCGGAAAACCAAAGATGAACCCAAGAAAATACCATAATCATTCGTTGATCGTCGATCATCCAAGTCACCTCCCCAATTGCTATCAGCATAACATTGCGGATCAAGATGAGAAGTAAAAGTGAAAAATAGTACTTTTCAAGTAACATAACAATCTCTTCAATGCTTTTCAATGGTCATCGGTCGAATGATGTATGAATTGACATAATTTATTAACAATATAGGTAATGTCCGGGTGAGTGATGGTAACATACTAAAGAGCACCAACTAATTTGTGACAATGATCACGATACTCGAGTGGAATGCCATTGGTTTTTGATAATGTAGGAGAAATCACCATATGAGTGAAATATGGATTGGAATCCTCCACACTAGTGTGAGCAAGAAGGTCACCAATATACTTTTACCGAGAGAGGATAATGCCATTGAGCTAAGTAGAGACCTCTATACCAAGAAAATAATGAAGAGCACCTAGGTTGCAAATAGAAAATTCTCGTTTAAGCCGAGCAATAATATCCAAGATCGGGGTTGGAGAGGAACTCGTGATTATTAAGTCATCCACACAAACTAATAGAAAAACAACAGCAATAGCAAAGTGTAACATGAATAAGGATGTGTCAACCTTTAATGGCATGAATTGTAAAGAAATAAGGAACCGACTTAGCCGTGTAAACCAAGCTCACGAGGCTTGTTCCAAGCCATAGAGAGAACGATTTAGCTTGCACATAAAATCTAGACATGAAGGATTAATGAAGTCCTATGGTTGTTCTATAAAGATTTTTTTTTTTTAAATCAAGATGGCCATGTAGAAAGGCATTTGGAAACATCCAATCACCTTATAGGCCAGTAAAACATGGAAGCTAAGGCCAACAAAACCCGAATTGTAGTGGCTTTAACTATAAGACTCGAAAATGTCTTTGTAATCCAATTCTAATGTTTGTGTGTATCCCTTTGCCATTAGTCTTGCTTTGTAGCAATCAACCTTATCATCCTAATTTTTTTTAATCCTATAAACCCATAAGTTTCTTATAATGTTAACATGTAATAAGCGTGAAATAAGAGTCCAAGTGGTATTACCTAAGAGTGCACCTATTTCAGTTTTCGTTATATATTGTCATTCACTAAACAATTTGGCTTGGGTATAAGTTAGCGGCTCATGTTTAAGGTAATTAAGGTTGGGTTTCTCTTTAAGCATAATATTAGCTTAGCGTTTATACATAGTAAAGGGATGAAAGACCATAGAATGGGTTAGGGTGAGAAGAGAATCAAATGTAGTAGATGACATAATACGATAAATAGAGATCAATAACAGAATTGAAACCTAGAGATGAATTGATGACTGAAATAGGAGGATTCATAATACGATGTATAATATAGAAAAGAGTAGAGGGATGAAAGGTAGGAGACATTGTTCTAGTTGATGTAGGAGTCGTAAGAGAAGAGGAAACGAAAAGGGTCTCGGGTGATGTAAGAGTCATAAAAAGGGAGGAAATAGAATGAGATAGAGAGAAAGGTTAGAGAGTAAATATAGATGTACCTTGTTTCATGATGGGAAGAGATGGAACTGAAATTCTCAACCATAGATTAGTTATAGGCCTTGGCCTTGGCAAAGTAGAACTCGATTCGATCAATCTTGTTTAGGTAAAGAAAAGTAGTTTCATCAAATCTAACGTGTCTAGCTACATGTACTCTATTAGTTTTGGGATTAAGACATAAATGACCATAATGATGAGGAGACTGGCCCAAATAAACACAAACCTTAGTGCAAAAAGAAAATTTATGCTAATTATATAGACATAAAAGAGGATATACGAGTACAACCAAAGACTTTTAGTTTTGTATATTTAGGATTCCTGCCATGTAAGAAATTCAAATGGTGTTTTGTTATGGACAATTAGAGTAAGTAGTAAGTTGATTAATCGAATACTAGTTTGAAAAACATAAGGCCAATATTTGAATGAAATAGCAGCATATGCCAAAATAGTTAAGCCATTGTCAACAATATGCTTGATTTTATGCTAAAAAATGCCATTTTATTCATGAGTGTATGGATATGCAATACGGTGAACAATGCTAATTTGTTTAAAATAAAGCTGTAATTTTTTATACTCTCATCCCGGTCTAAATGGAATGATTTAATTATGTCATTAAATTATCGACATGCATAAGATTCAAATTAGAGAAAAAAGAATATACATCACTTTTATTTTTAATAAAATAAACCCAAGTGAACCGTGCAAAATCATCAACAAATAAAAAAATATCGATATACGAAATTAAAAATCACAAGAGTAGGCCCCAAACATCCGAATGAATGATATCAAAAGGTTTACTATTTATGTGTTCGATTGAAGCTAAAGGCAAACGAGCTAACTTTTCTAAGTGACACGTAGAATAATTACGAGTAGACATAGATGGGGTAGAATCATGAAAGTTATTTTCTTTGATGATTTTGGAGATAGTGCAAGGTAGAGGATGATCAAAAGAGAGTGTCAAGTTGCAAAGGAAATACTTTCACTTAGGAATGCCTATTTGTATGGAGACGATAGTAGATAGAATCCATTCTCACTCCTACCTTAAACCAAGGTTGCCTTGCTCATTTGATCTTTTATCAAAAAATTAAAAAGCCAAAATTCAAAGAAGCAATTATTATCAATGGTGAATTTTTGGACATATATAAGAGATTTAGTAAGAGTTGGAACATGATAAACATTTGGAAACATAAATTATGTGTATTAGGAGAAAAAGAAGGATAAAAAGTAATACCAGCATGTGAAATAGGCAAACCTTGGCCATTACCGGTAGTAATCTAATTTGTACTCTTATAATTTGTAACATTAAAGAGAACGAGTAATTCAAAGTCATATGATGTACAACACCTCTATTAGGGTATCGACCTACTGTGGAAGGAGAAGGATGAAAGGGCGAATGCGCATAAGGCACAATAGATGGTGGCATGGGATGAGAGTGGATTGACATAGTTGAATCATGCTAAACAACATTGGCCTGTAGTGAGATGGAGGAATTTTGGCACAACATATAACGACCTCCGCACCTATCAATAATGTGGTTTTTAAAACCACAAATTTGGCAAGGGCCACGATTGCTCTAGTATTGGTCGGGAGGATGAAACTAAGGATAGTTGTAATTTTACCTAGTAAATAAAGATGGGAAAATGGGTGTGGTGAAGAAACCGATGGATGTTTAAAAGCAACATTGGTAGCTGGATAGGCATTCATGCTTTTGATTAAAATTTCTTGTGCAAACAGTGGCCATGAAATTTTGGAAAGAAAACAGGATCGAGTCATAAATTCAAGGTAGTAATAATGGGATAATTTTCTATCCTAATATTGTGATAGATAATCATATTAAACTCAATAATAGAGATGCAGCGACTAGTAGTAGAAAGTTCATCGGCAAGACTCTTTGCTTTTTAAAGATAATCAATGACATACGGATCATGTTTCTATAGCTCCTAAAGTTCTATATTATGCTATAA